GACCTTGTTTTTTTTGTTTGGTTGGCTGGGTTTTTTTAAGGAATGTGTGTCTTTTCAGAATGTGTTATATCAGTCACGTTAGTTTTAACAAACACTTTAAGAGCAGGCTCAGGAGACTTGAGTTATTGTTGTGATTTCACCACTGATCTGTTGTGTGACCACATCCCAGTCACAGTCTGACTGAGCCATTAACCTTCCGTGCCTCTGCTTCCTCGCCCATCGAGTGTGAGTTATAGTCGAGCTGTGTTACCTTTTAGCTAAATGCTGGTGGAAAAATTCACAATCACAGAATGATATGGGGTTGGAAGGGACCTCTGGAGATCATCTAGTCTATACCCCCCTGCCAGAGCAGGTCCACCCAGAGCAGGTTGCACAGGAACGTGCAACCTGCAGGTTTTGAATATCTCCAGAGAAGGAGACTCCACCACCTCTCTGGGCAGCCTCTTCCAGGGCTCTGCCACCCTCAAAATGAAGAAGTTCCTCCTCATGTTTATATGGAAATTCTGATATTCAAGTTTGTGCCCATTTCCTCTTGTCCTGTCACTGGGCACCACTGAAAAAAGACTGGCCCCATCCTCTTGACACCCACCCTTTAAGTATTTATAAGCATTGAAGCATTTAAGTATTTATAAGCATTATAAGCTTTGTGCAAATGCAGTTTCTAACATGAAATTGCAGGAATAACGTTCTTAGAGAACCTCAGCAGTGAAAACAGGAGATGAAATGAGCTGTACTTACATAAAACAGTGTCCTGCTAGTTTAATCTTACTCTCTTCTGTGCTGTGATTTATTTATTTTTTTTGTGGATGAGGACCACAAAGGAAGAGCTCTCTCTCCAATATTTCTTAGTGACCCATTAAAATAACAGCTGTGACCTAACTGCTGTGATTTATTTATTTTAATTTTTTTGTGGATGAGGACCACAAAGAAAGAGCTCTCTCTCCAGTATTTCTTGGTGACCCATTAAAATAACAGCTGTGACCTAACGTCCCTGCTGCACGTGGATTTTTGATGCAAATGAATTCAGAGATTCTGAAATTCCTGTACATTTTCAATGTGATAAGTGTGCTCACAGTTATAAGTTCGTGTAGTGCACTCACCATAATACTTAAAAACCTGTTCATAGTAGACCTTAAAGTCAGGTAACTAAATCTCTGTTTTATAGATGGAGATCACCCTTGGGCTTTTTTAGGGCCATAAACAAATTATTGGTTAGAGCCTTGAAATCCGGACTTGTAGATCCATGCTTTGTCTGTACTGCTACAGCCAGCTAAATTTTTTATTTTTTTTTATTTTTTTTGAGTTCAAAGCAAACTTAAAATTGAGTCTTTTCTCCCTTCTCTGGTTCAGCTTTCTGTCTTTGTGTGGATAAAACCATCAGCCTTCTGAAATGTACCTGCAAACGAGCTGGTGCTCGCTCACCCTAGGAGAGAATCCCATTTCCCAGAAATCATTTGCTGTGCTACTGGGCACTTTCCTGCCCGTGTTAATTCCTGCGTCTTCACTTTTTTGGAATGCCAGAGTATTTATTTATTTTAATTAGAGATTGTCAGTAATGAGATCTTGACCCTAATTAGGGATTGCCTGCCAACCAAGTTTGCTTGGGTTACCAGCGAGACTGCTTTTTACTGCGACAGCATTTTTTTGTCTGTAAGCCCCAGGCATAAAGAACAACATCTTCAGCTTGTTCTGTCTAAGGAGATTGTGCATTTTCTGCATATATTTATATTTTTTAATTGTTTAACACTGGCTAATTTGGTAAACATAAATGCTACCCTATAGCTGAAAGAGATTTTCAAAGTAATTAAACTATGCCTTATGTATACCAATTTATGAACCTTTTGCCTACTTAGGAGAGTTTTGTATGGGTTTAAGATCCATTGATCACGCTGCAGAAAGAGTTACCCATTGCTCAGCTGAATATTGCAGCATAGTTTTTTTTCTACATATGCAGTAAATGATTGTGAGGAAGAATGAACTCCTTTGAGGCCGGACTTCTGTTGTTTTTCATGATTGTGTGTTTGGTGCTGTTTTATGTCTGTTGCACAAAACACACCAAACAGGGCAGAAGCTGATAAAGTGAGATTTGACCTTAATAGTTAAAGTATGTCATTAAAAAAAATATAAAAAAAAATCTTAAGATGCTGTGCTGAGGTGAAAGGGAATCATAGAATAGAATTGTCTTAGGTTTGAAGGTTTGACCTTAAAGTATGTCACCTTAAGATCCTTTTTCTTTTTTTTAATGAAAGGGGATCATAGAATAGAATTGTCTTAGGTTTGAAGATCATTGAGTCCAACCATTAACCCAGCACTGCCCAAACCACCACTAACCCATGTCCCTCAGCACCACATCTGCCCACCTTTTAAATCCTCCAAGGATGGTGACTCCACCACTTCCCTGGGCAGCCTGGTCCAACGCTTGACAACCCTTTTGGTGAAGAAATTTTTCCTAATATCCATCCTGAACCTCCCTGACACAACTGGAGTCCATTTCTTCTTGTCTATCGCCTGTTCCTTGGGAGAAGAGACTGACCTGCCCCCAGATACACACACCTTTCAAGGAGTTTTAATTAGAATCAGGGAATAGAATCATAGAATTGTCCAGGCCGGAAGGGACCTCCAAAGGTCATCTAATCTGACCTCCCCACAGTCAGCGGGGACACCCCAACTAGACCAGGTTTCCCAGGGCCTCGTCGAGCCTCACCTTGAATATCTCCAGGGATGGGGCCTCAACCACCTCCCTGGGCAACCTGTTCCAGTGCTCCACCACCCTCACAGGAAAGAACTTTCTCCTAAAAGTTGTAGAACCACTCATAGCTACACCCTCCTTTCAGGGAGTTGGAGAGAGCCAGAAGGTCTCCCCTCAGCCTCCTTTTCTCCAGGCTGAGCACCCCCAGCTCCCTCAGCCAGTCCTCACCAGACTTGTGCTCCAGACCCCTCACCAGCTCCGTTGTCCTTCTCTGGACATGCTCCAGCATCATAATGTCTTTCTTCATTGGACTGAGGAGTTTTAATTAGAATCAGGGAATAGAATCATAGAATTGTCCAGGCCGGGGGAGTTTTAATTAGAATCATAAAATTGTCTAGGCTGGAAGGGACCTCCAAAGGCTTACTGCATTATTGTGCTCACATCTCTGTCAGTGCCCAAATCTAGCATTTCCATCCCTGTTATAGAATCGTAGAATCATAGAATGGTTTGGGTTGGAAGGGACCTCAAAGATCATCTAGTTCCAACCCCCTGCCATGGGCAGGGACACCTCCCACCAGACCAGGTTGCTCAAGGCCCCCCTAAAAGTTGTAGAACCACTCATAGCTACACCCTCCTTTCAGGGAGTTGGAGAGAGCCAGAAGGTCTCCCCTCAGCCTCCTTTTCTCCAGGCTGAGCACCCCCAGCTCCCTCAGCCAGTCCTCACCAGACTTGTGCTCCAGACCCCTCACCAGCTCCGTTGTCCTTCTCTGGACATGCTCCAGCATCATAATGTCTTTCTTCATTGGACTGAGGCAGCTGGATCGTAATGTTTTTCTTCATTGGACTGAGGCAGCTGGAGGTTTGTGATTGAGCATCATTAATAGACATTTAGCTGAGGCTCCAGCTCTTATTGCATTATTGTGCTCACATCTCTGTCAATGCCCAAATCTAGCATTTCCACCCCTGTTATAAGTCAAGGAGTTGCTCTGACATAAGACATCCTGAGGAAAATTCAAGTCAAGGAGTCGCTCTGACATAAGACATCCTGAGGAAAATTCAGTCTGGTTTTGATCCTACCGGTGTTCCAGATGGAAGAATCTGGAACACAATCTCATCTGTCTTTTCTGGTCACGATTTGCCCATTGCACTCAAGCAGTTTACCACCACCACCCATCCAAGCAAAACAAAAAAGGGAGAAGGGTACTGTTAATGATCAGTAGATACAGAGGTTGTAATCAGAGAAGACTCCAGGAGGATTAAATTCAGTAGCTCAGGTGCTGTAAAGAAAACCAGCAATGACAACAACAGTGTAGTGTGAAATTTTAAACGGAGATGTGCATGATGTTACCCTACCCCCTGCCTTGTGTGCGTGGCCTCATTAGTCAGGCTCCTGGAAACAGAATGAAATCTCTGTACTGGCTCTTGCAGTTTTTTAAGCTCTTTAAACCAACTGAAGTAACCCAGTAACCGAGTAGCTTGGGTTTTGGGGGGTTTGTTTCTTTGCTTTATGGCACTTTAAGCGTGCTCTGTCTCAAGGACTAAGACCATCTGCGGTGTGATACAGGTTAGTTGTGACCATAATTTATCCTCTTTCTCTTATTTGAGAGTGGGTATAAGACTTGAAATAATTTATCATCTATTTCTCTTATTTGAGAGTGGGTATAAGACTTGGCAAATTTAAAGTATTTTAGAAAGCATTGAGCGCTGCGAATGGGGAAAATATAATTTAGAAAAAGTACTTCTCTTCCAGGTGTCAGCTGCTCAGATGATGATGAAAAGCCCCGCAAAAGACGGCGAACGAATTCTTCGAGTTCTTCCCCTGTGCTGCTGAAAGAAGTCCCGAAGGCAGTGACTCCTGTCACTAAAACTATCACGGTGCCTGTAAGTGGCAGCCCCAAGATGAGTAATATAATGCAGAGCATTGCCAACTCCTTACCACCACACATGTCGCCTGTGAAAATAACCTTCACTAAGCCCTCAACACAGACAACAAACACGACAACACAGAAGGTATGTGGGGGAAGCTGCCAAATGTTACTTTATTCTGGTTTTATCAATGAATAAGACGTGATGTTTGACTTTTTCTTTCTATGAACTGTCTAGCTGGGGTTTTGTTTTTTTTTTTTTTTGATAAGGTAATCCCTCTTTAAAAAGAACAAAGAGGAAATACCGAGCTCTTGTATGAATTTAGTTCACCTGTGTGTGAAAGGACCTGGATTGACAGCCGTGGAGACTGAAGCCCTCTTTTTATCCACAGAACAGGTACAGCACAGGCAGCGGGAGTGCAAGCTTCCCCCAGACTGCCCCACCAATGTGCCTCAACCCTGACCTGAAGGGACCACTTCTAGGGATGAGAGGGGATTCAGTCTCCATGCTCATTCAATTCTTGGCCTCTCTGGTGAGACTGCCAACAAGGTTGCCAGTTAGTACCATTTGTGGTGTTGGGTTTTGTGATATGGACACTAGTCCACTGAGAACTGGATCACATAGGCCACTGAACAGCCTTCAGATGGTAACAACTATTGGTCAAAGGTAATCTTTCTTATTTCTATTTTCCTTATTTATCATTATTCTTTGCAGTAGTGGAATTCCAGGAGAGGTGGTGTGGGCTTTCCCTTGCCAAGCCTTTTGTCTAGACACTAGTTTTTACGGGGGTCTATAAAGCTTATTCTTGGAGCTGGTCAAAGACTGGGGAGGGTGGGCTTTATTTTTCCTTTCAGTACTGGCCTGCCATTTCTCATTCTACATTAACAGTGTTGGAGTGGTTAAAATCAGTCGCATTATTTCATCCGATCGTGCCCAGCTTTCACCAGAATGCAGTGTGTGGAAAAGGGCTTTCCTGTGTGGAAATTTTGTGTTGGATTCCGATTTTATGTGCCTGATCTACAGCATGACTATTTTCCCATGCTTTAGGAAGCATTTCAGATGTGTCTACTTTTTTGTTCTTAAGATGTAAAAAAAAAAAAAGATTAATGGCTCAGACCAAGTTCATTCTTGGTACGGTTATTAATTAAGGCAGACTTGAGGGGAGTCTTAATTAAATAATGGCCTTGGAATTAATTTGGCCTTGATACCAACAGACTGATGGTAGGCTGGCCACTAACAAGCATTTTTTTCCAACTGTGAGAGTTTGACTATTGAGCTCAAACCTTCACACAGTATTTGTTCTATTAGTCCTCTGGATTGTTTTATGACTCTATTTGGATTAGCAGAGTTCCCATGTCCTGATTTTTGGAAACTTTAAAACCAAGGAAGATTAACTGAAGTAACGTGCAATAAAGAACTTGCTTTCTGGCCTTTTCCCACTTCAGAGCTCTTTGATGCTTTCAGTTGATTCACTGTTCTTTAACAGTGTCCTTAATCAAATTTTATCTCTGAATACATGTATAGAAATTCGTGAGCGAGCATAAACCATCAAATAAAATGTCCTGCATTCAGTGCAGCAAATTCACAATTAGAATAGACTTTCTCCCACTCATCCTGTTTCTTTTATTTTGCTCATCTTTTGTGTAGGAAGATTTTTTTTTTTTTGCCTTTCTATATTAAATGAGTGGTATATCATAGTAGTTAAAAATGGAGTGTATTAAATCCCCAAAAGGGAGACAATGGACCGTTGATGGAGTCTTTTCTGCAGTTGTGCCTCTGCTTGTCCTGGTGTGGAAATTTTAGGGTTTGCTTTGCTTAGTGGTGCTTGACTCCTACTGATCTGAAATGATAGAAAAATCATCAGCTTTAGTAGCGTTTGTATCCGAACTTGTCACACTGCCCTCTTTTGTTGGATTTAGATAGCGTCAAAACACGCAACCAGATCATTTTGGTGGGAGAAATCCCTTTTATTAGTTTTAAATTAAATGTCAGACTTGTTAGACTTAAATTGGAAATGTACTATTTTAAAACAAGTGCAGTTGGGTATGAGTGAAGTTGTTGGCTATGAAAGAAATTCTTCGTTTCCGCATGCCAGCTTTCTGAATTGTTTTGACATTTTAGTAGGATGGAGGAAGATTTGTCGGAACAACTAATAATGCCACAGCTCTAATTTCTGGATTTCTCTTATAATAAAGTCCTCTGTCTAGGACACGGAATCCAGCTAGTGAGGCTTCTGGCAGCTAATGCCTTTATTGCTGCGGGGACTAGATTTTGATGTCTCTCAAAATAGAGCTGACAGGACTAATTTCAATTTATGTCAGGAATTTGTTTTTACCATAAGAATTAGAATCAACAACAAAAAAGCAACTAGCTTGCTTTTTTTTCTTTTTATTTTTTTAAAAATCAGGCAGTCTTTCTGCTGTAAAAGACGTGATGCAGTTTTGGTACCCACGATGAGGATACTTTGATCATTTCAAAGCAAAATAGTATCAAAAAAGGTATCTTAAAAATGTAACTTCTGTGATTTGAGCTTTAATGCTTTTACATTTTTACCTGAAAGTTCTCTCTTCTGTATAGAATTTATACATGGAGACCACTAAATTTTGTTCTGTGTGAATTTTGAAGGAAGAAATAGAATAGAGAAACCCAAACCTGCTTCGTCACAGGACAGCAATCACTGTTGAACTACTATGCTTTACAAACTTTCTTCCTTACATGATTAAATAGTTATTAAGTGATAATCTTGGGCTGATGGTTTTATTTCTGTCTCTGAAGAACATTGGTCTTCAGGAGATGTGATTACTCCTGATTCATTCTACATACCTATACTTAGTTGAGATGCAGAATTTACCTTCTTGCACTATGGATTATATAGGAACCTTAATGTGAATAACCTGCCTTTTTTAACTACAAGTTGTCCTTTGGCTGTATTTTTAAATTAATTACTTTAGGTGGAATGGAGCTGGCCCTAAAATCCAAACACTTAGGAAGTATTTCTAGCATTAACTGACTATTTAAGAAATAAGATGAAACTCCAGAGGCACATCATAGGATCTTGCCACCTGCAAGTCTTGTACCAGAATCAGACTGTGTCGGGTTCAGCTTGTCTGCATGGTCATAGCGTAAGAGCAATTTCAGAAGGGTGTTTTGATTAAATCAGGGTCAGACAGAGGGCAAAAATAAGAGCGATGCAGAGAAAATGGTCTCCCTGGAGAATGCAATCAAGTGGTAGAGCAGCAGATGTGGAAACCTTGTCCTTCACGCATTGGTCAGTTGTGGTGAACCTGCTGTAGGTCATGGAGGTTAGTAAGGCTTTGGTTTTCCTGAGATCAAGATATTAAAGATATAGCTCAGTAGTGGGGACCATAAAAACGAAGCACTTGGAGGGAAAGGAGAGACAGAGGCAGCCATGATGGTGAAATTTGCTGCTTTTATTCCATCCATGTGATTACCTCTTTTTTTTTTTTAAACAAATTATAAATGCTTAAACTCTTGATCTGTCACATAAGTCTATTTCTAGTGCCATTATCATATTATTTCTTTTCTCTCTCAGGCAAGATTTCAGTAGTCCTTGGGTAGTAGTGTAAGACTTTTGCTTTGAGGTGACCCAGGTTTTCTTTATCCCTTCTGTACCTTTTTTTTTTTTTCTATCTGCTTTTGCTACATCAAATCATTAATTTTCAAGGTTTTAATCAACGAAATTTTTGTTGGAAAAAATGCATTATTAAAATAATTTCTCAATGTTCTTGCATGGTAAACTGAAAATGTGTTGTATATCTGTGCGGTGTGTTTCTATTTTAACTCTGTAAGTTCAAGGAGGTACATATAAGCAGAATAAAAGGAATCTCTTTACATAAATAGTGAGCATATTCAATACTTGAAGAAATATGTGGTTTTCTAGGTCAGTTGCATAAGAACAGACCTCTTCCAATGTTACAATGAATTCTGTGGTTTTCTGTGTCAAATCAGATTCATGGTGTTGTAACTGTAACTCCCACCAGGGGTGATGTTTATTGTCTTTAGACAAATGGTTTTCAGACAGATAAGAATTTCTTGTTATTGAGAGCACTAATTAACGCAGAAATTGTTTTAAACCTAAACCAGGTTTTTCACTGATGATATATTGATTGTTTACAGCCTTATGAATCAAAAATATTTCCCATTACTGACTCAGCAACTGCTTGTTAGTTGTTAAAGAGGAAAAAAAAAATCATCTATTTTCTCACTGCCATTTTTTGATATATGTGAAGGGTTTTGGAGAATGGTGTGTAAAACTTGCTTGAAATCCCTTCTGTTCCATTTAAAATGGGCTTCCTGGCCCAGTTTAGTGAAGGCAAGCAGTACATTCCTTCAGACATGAGGTAGTAGTACTTTAATAAGATAGTAGTTGTTTTTCTTAAAATAAAAAATAAAAAAAACAACAAAACTCTTCTAATTTTAAGGAAATGTTTATCACCACTTCTCCAAACAAATTGAAAATTTCTATTGCCTGCAAGTGTGAATATAACCCTCTTAAATTATCTTAATAAACATGTATCCTTAAAACTACGCATAGGCAGATACGCTACTGAAACTTTGTGCTTTGAAAGAATTGCGGAGAACAAATAAATCTCTTGTTGTTTTTCTTCTTTCAGGTGATAATAGTAACCACCTCTCCAAGCTCCACTTTTGTACCCAACATCCTTTCCAAGTCCCACAACTATGCAGCAGTAACGAAACTTGTCCCGACGTCAGTCATTGCCTCAACTACTCAAAAGCAGCCGGTGGTGATAACGGCGTCTCAGTCCTCCTTGGTCAGTAGCAGCAGCAGCAGCAGTAGCTGTTCCACTCCCTCCTGTACTGCAAATACTATTGCTGTGACTGCTGTCGTGTCATCAACTCCATCGGTGGTTATGTCAACCGTAGCACAAGGTATGGCAATAACGTTGTATTTATAAAAGCTCTTTTACTGATTAATTGCCTGCGCTGTCCAATAGTAAGACCTGGACAAGCTGGAGAGCTGGGTGGAGAGAAACCTTAGGAAATTCAGCCTGAAGAAGAGGAGGCTCCGGGGAGACCTAATAGCAGCCTTCCAGTACCTGAAGGGGGCCTACAGGACAGCCAGGGAGAGCCTGTTTAGAAAGGCCTGCAGTGACAGGACGAGGGGAAATGGCTTCAAGCTGGAGGGGAACAGATTTAGATTGGAGATTAGGAGAGGGTTCTTCACTGTGAGGGTGGTGGAGCACTGGAACAGGTTGCCCAGGGAGGTGGTTGAGGCCCCTTCCCTGGAGATATTCAAGGAGAGGCTCAACGAGGCCCTGGGCAACCTGGTCTAGTTGGGGTGTCCCTGCTGACTGCGGGGAGGTTGGACTAGATGACCTTTGGAGGTCCCTTCCAGCCTGGGCAATTCTATGATTCTATGAAGTCCAACAAGGGCAAGTGTAGGGTTCCACACCTGGAGAAGAGTAACCCCATGCACCAGTACAGGTTAGGGGTGGCCTGCTGGAGAGCAGCTCTGAGGAAAAAGACCTGGGAGTCCTGATGGACAACAGGATGACCATGAGCCAGCAATGTGCCCTGGTGGCCAAGAAGGCCAATGGTCTCCTGGGGCACATTAAAAAGAACGTGGCCAGCAGGTGGAGGGAGGTCATCCTCCTCCTCTGTTCTGCCCTGGTGAGGCCACATCTGGAGCACTGGGACTAGTTCTGGGCTCCCTGATTCAAGAAGGACAGGGAATTGCTGGAGAGGTCCAGCGGAGGGCTATGAAGATGATTAGGGGACTAGAACATCTGAGTAGTAAAGGCTGAAGGGCTTGGCTCTTCTTAGTCTGGAGAAGAGAAGGCTGAGGGGGGATCTGATCAATGCTTATAAATACTTAAAGGGTGGGTGTCAGGAGGATGGGGCCAGGCTTTTTTCAGTGGGGCCCAGGGAGAGGACAAGAGGTAACGGGTACAAACTTGAACATAGGAAGTTCCATCTCAACATGAGGAGGAACTTCTTTCCTGTGAGGGTGGCAGAGCCCTGGAACAGGCTGCCTGGAGATGTGGTGGAGTCTCCTCCTCTGGAGACATTCAAACCCTGCCTGGACATGTTCCTGTGTAACCTGCCCTGGGTGACCCTCCTTTGGTAGGGGGTTGGACTGGATGATCTCCAGAGGTCCCTTCCAACCCCTGTCATTCTGTGACTTTGTTTTGAGAATAGCATTGGAGAGATGCACTTTATATACAATAAGTAAAGCACAGGAAACGTGAAAGAAGTCTATTGATGAACCTGTCAAGATCCAAGATACTCCATAAAAGTCAACTTTTTTGAGAGTTGGTCAAATATTTTTCCTCTTTACTTAAACACTGTATGTGCATATCTGCTTTTTAAAAAGAATGTGGTGAGATGGCGTGTCATATCTTTTTATTTTGAAAAGATGTTACTTGCAGCATTAAAACACTAAAGCCTCAAAATGACTGGCTTTAAGAGCTCTGTCTGATGCGTGGAAAATGGATGTTTCCAGTATTTGAAGATGATTGCTTCTCTTATAGCCTGATTTACAAAATCATACAAAGTTAACATCAAATAAATGCAAGTTACGCTTGACGTGCCCGGTCTTTAGTATATTTCTTGTGGTAATAAATCTGGATGACAATTCTGAACAGTAAAAAAGTGTTTACACCTTTTTATCTGTGTATTTTGTCAGCCTGTCAGTTTTCAAGTCCTCAAAAAATAAGACCTGAGTGTGCCTGGATTAAAATTTGTAGTTTTCTGATTTCTAAGTCAAGCTGCGTGTGGTAGCTTGATTGGTTCAGCTCCACAGCCACCAGCTGACATTTGGGAGGGAAGCTGTGGATGGATGAAAGGGCCTCCATGACCAACACCTGAAAAATACTGTGCCTGACAATGACAAGTGTCACATGGCAGTTTTTCCTGGTTCATATTTTCCATTCCACAAAAAGTTGAGCAATCAAACCAAGGCTGAGGAAGTATTTTGCTTTCCATGTTGCTTCTCTTAATTAGCTCCTGATGAGGCAAAGCTATAGAGCACAGTGACGTACAGCAGAATTTTGTGTTTAATCACGGAAGAGACTACAATTCTAAACCACATTAGAATCTCTTCAGCAGTTTGAGGTTTTTTTTTTCAAGATTATCAGTGTCATTGCAGAAGACACTGGTGGGGAGGGAAGCTGTGGATGGATGAAAGGGCCTCCATGACCAACACCTGAAAAATACTGTGCCTGACAATGACAAGTGTCACATGGCAGTTTTTCCTGGTTCATATTTTCCATTCCACAAAAAGTTGAGCAATCAAACCAAGGCTGAGGAAGTATTTTGCTTTCCATGTTGCTTCTCTTAATTAGCTGCTGATGATGCAAGTCTATAGAGCACAACGACTTAAAGCAGAATTTTGTGTTTAATCACGGAAGAGACTACAATTCTAAACCACATTAGAATCTCTTCAACAGTTTGAGTTTGTTTTTTTTTTTTCAAGATTATCAGTGTCATTGCAGAAGGCACTGGTGAAATGTTTTGTGACGTAAACTGATAATCACTCCAAGTGTGGGAAAGCTAAATTCATGAATGAAAACAACTGACCAAAAAAATGGAGAAACTGTCTTAGATGATGCAGTGAGAAAAGGGTTGCTTATTTGGATTGCCAGAACTGTAGCTTATTATGATTTCTACCATTATTACTGCCATCTTTAAATCTAGAGGAGAAATAAGAGAGACTTTTTCTTGCCATTTTCCACTACAGCAGGGACTTAGTTAGAAACTACCTTCATAATACATGGACTTTACATTTTTCTTTTTTGGTTCTTCTGGACGTGCAATTTAGATTTCTAGATGAAGCCAAATTTTGCTGGAAATGTGACAACTATGTAAGGGAATGACAGAAATGACTGATTTGGGAACTTTGTCTTTCCGTCTTACTGGAAATTCAGTTTAATCTCTTTATTACTTGTAAAATGACCTAATGTATCTGCACAAAAACTGTGTGGTCCACAGTTTTCTAAATTACGTGCCATAACTTAATTCACTCTTTAAAAATAACATCGCACTCAGCGTCTTAGATGATGCAGTGAGAAAAGGGTTTCTTATTTGGATTCCCAGAACTGTAGCTGCTTATGATTTCTCCCAGTACCACTGCCATCTTTAAATCTAGAGGAGAAATAAGAGAGACTTTTTCTTGCCATTTTCCACTACAGCAGGGACTTAGTTAGAAACTACCTTCATAATACATGGACTTTACATTTTTCTTTTTTGGTTCTTCTGGACGTGCAATTTAGATTTCTAGATGAAGCCAAATTTTGCTGGAAATGTGACAACTATGTAAGGGAATGACAGAAATGACTGATTTGGGAACTTTGTCTTTCCGTCTTACTGGAAATTCAGTTTAATCTCTTTATTACTTGTAAAATGACCTAACATATCGGCACAAAAACTGTGTGGTCTACAGTTTTCTAAATTACGTGCCATTACTTGATTCACTCTTTAAAAATAACATCGCACTCAGCAACAACTACTCCTTTCTAATGTTGATGGGTTTGGTATTTGTCATCCTCCTATCCTAACTTTTTTTGGAGTGGTGATTTTCACTGTGAATGTTTTGGTTTCTTCAAGCTTAAAGATCAGGCTTTGAAAATATTTATGAATTATTTGTACTACAAAAGGTGCAGGAAGTAGTCTGGGATTGTGGGCTTTCCATTAGCTGCTGTTCTGCTGCCACGCTGAAAGTCTGTATAAAGCTCCCTTGTCTCTGACCACAGCACTTCTGCTGTGTGGCAGCTTTTTTCACTCATGTCTGTCTGTGCATCTTTTAATAGTAAAGACACTTTAAATGCAGAAGTATTTAGGAAATTGTGATGCTGCATATCGGCACAAAAACTGTGTGGTCTACAGTTTTCTAAATTACGTGCCATTACTTGATTCACTCTTTAAAAATAACATCGCACTCAGCAACAACTACTCCTTTCTAATGTTGATGGGTTTGGTATTTGTCATCCTCCTATCCTAACTTTTTTTGGAGTGGTGATTTTCACTGTGAATGTTTTGGTTTCTTCAAGCTTAAAGATCAGGCTTTGAAAATATTTATGAATTATTTGTACTACAAAAGGTGCAGGAAGTAGTCTGGGATTGTGGGCTTTCCATTAGCTGCTGTTCTGCTGCCACGCTGAAAGTCTGTATAAAGCTCCCTTGTCTCTGACCACAGCACTTCTGCTGTGTGGCAGCTTTTTTCACTCATGTCTGTCTGTGCATCTTTTAATAGTAAAGACACTTTAAATGCAGAAGTATTTAGGAAATTGTGATGCTGTTCTTTTGTGTTGCACTGTTCAATCTGAAACCGTTTTGCTCTTTCACAGGTGTGTCTACATCAGCAATTAAAGTCGCCTCTACCAGACTACCTTCCCCAAAAGGTTTGGTTGGGAATCCAACTCAGATCTTAGCACAGTTTCCCAAACAGCATCAGCAATCCCCCAAACAGCAGCTGCACCAAATACAACAGCAGCAACAACAACAGCAGCAGCAACAACAACAACAACAGCAACAACAGCAGCAGCAGCAGCTGGTTCAGTCTTTGTGGCAGCTTTTTTCACTCATGTCTGTCTGTGCATCTTTTAATAGTAAAGACACTTTAAATGCAGAAGTATTTAGGAAATTGTGATGCTGTTCTTTTGTGTTGCACTGTTCAATCTGAAACCGTTTTGCTCTTTCACAGGTGTGTCTACATCAGCAATTAAAGTCGCCTCTACCAGACTACCTTCCCCAAAAGGTTTGGTTGGGAATCCAACTCAGATCTTAGCACAGTTTCCCAAACAGCATCAGCAATCCCCCAAACAGCAGCTGCACCAAATACAACAGCAGCAACAACAGCAACAACAACAGCAGCAGCAGCAACAACAACAACAGCAGCAACAGCAGCAGCAGCAGCTGGTTCAGTCTTCTGTAGCTCAACAGCAGCCTCAGCAATCTCAGTTGCCACCTGGCATCAAGCCCACCATTCAGATCAAACAGGAATCAGGTAGTTGGAGTTAAATCTTGGCTTGTTTTGCTGATTGGTGAGATCTCACCAGCACTCAAGAAAGTAGAATTCTGTCCCAAAATGTGCATGGGGATCTATCATTAAGGCGGTTGAGTACAGGATTTGGCATTAAACCTGGATATAAGTAGATATGAAGGATGTCTTAATGTTTTCAGCTAACAATAACTGGAGAATTTGGTTCTGCAACTCTTCTTGTTTGGTTCGGGTATACAGACCGTGCTTTAGGAATACATGTTTTATCTTTAGAGATTGAAAGGTATGTAAGTATCTTCAAAAGTTACGTGATTGGCAACCTGGAAGACACCAGTTCTCTGAAGATACAAGAGCTGTTCAACTACATCAACTGGAAAAAGGAGTCAATCCATGTTTTAATTCTTTTCTTGGGTCTAGAAATCAAAACCTACTTTTGAGGTACTCGTCAAAACAAATACAATTAGGTCTGAGACCGGAAGTTGGGCTGGATTCTTTTTATAACATTTGATTCATTCAGTTGACTTTGGGCAAGTCGTATAATTTTTCTGTGCTGGCTCTGTAGAATACAGTTCTTATCTCTCCGTAAGATGTAGTAAGAAGTAATGTTTGTGAAGTTAGCTAATTCTAAAGGAAGAAGTGCTATAGAAGTGCAAAGTATTTTATATTAATCATGTCAGTAAAATGACTATTTTATATTCGTGCTATTTAGATCAAAGAATTAAAATGGACCATAGAATGAAAAAATAAAGAGCCTTATTCCTGTCCTTTGGTAAACTTCCTTTTGGATTATGGGACCTATAGAAAAATAGGTTGCATAAGAAAAATATCCACTAATGAAGACAGATAAAGGGCCTCCATTGTCCAGTCACTGAACAATATTTCACCAATTAGAGCTTCACTTCTTGACATCTACTGTGAGTTTAGGCTTAATGGTTTTTTGAGTTGAAGTTTCTTTGGAAATACCATCTGATACCTATTTTTTCTGCAAGATGTGAATCAATTTTCAAGGACACTTCTTACCCAATTTTGTGTCTGGATGATGCAAAGGCTCTGGTTTATCTTTCCTAACTTCAGGTAGCTCATTATTTAAATTTGGAGCTTGTTTGCTCCGTGGTGCTTTTATAGTCAACAGAGAAAGAAGAAAATCTCTCTGGAAGATGTTTCATGTCCCGAGTGGACAAAATTGCTCACCTAGAGATAATTGTTGACAAATACAAGTGCCTGCTTTTAGATGGGATTAACTCAGGTTGAGTGTTTCATGGCATTTGACCGACACAATGCAATACATTTACCTCATTGTGGAATGTAAGATGCATGTGTCCTGGATACACTTTTGAACAGACAACATGAATCTCCTGGTTTGCAAGTGAGAAGTGGATCTCTGAGGTCCCATTCCACTGCACAAATTGGGAAAGAGGGAGCAGAATCCCTTGTATTAAGGTGTTCCTCATCTTTTTTTCTTGCTGATTCTACTCAGAGCTTGTTTCATCCCAGTTCCTTTGTGGCTTCAAGATAACCAGTAATTCCAAGAGGAGAGAAATCAGTTTACTTAAAGCAGCCTGCCCTAGACAGCATCACAGTTGCTTCTTTATGCCCACAAATACTCTTTGTGCAGAAAGCTTTTTTTAATTTATTCAGAGGGATGAATTTCAACTAGACTAATTAAAACATATTAGAATTTACAGGCTAAATTGATGAAGAACTATCTTGCTTTTAGATGGTTCATTGTCTATGAACCACTTCAGTATTGGTTGTAACCTGTTGATTCCTGGGAAACATTCTGGTTTGGAATCATGGACCAGAAAAGGTTAAAAATCACTACAACAAATCAATGATGGAATGGCATCCCATGCCTCGATGGGAGTAGCTAGCAGTTGAAACAGGCACATGAAAGACAAAGATGCTGACTGTCTTGTTGTTTGCAAAAGAAGCAAAAAAGAAAACCTCCAAGCTAAAAGAAAACCGACCCAAACAAACAAATTATATTCAGGATCAAGAATAAAAGCCTCGTGAGGCTACTTGCCCACTAGGGCTTGGTCTGAGAAAGCATTTCAGAAAGTAACTTTTCGTGCCTGTATTTTAACAGTGACCTTTCTCCTTTCCTAGGTGTTAAAATAATCACTCAACAGGTGCAGCCCAGTAAAATCCTTCCCAAACCAGTTACAGCGACCTTGCCCAGCAGTAGCAATTCACCCATTATGGTGGTTAGCAGTAATGGGACTATCATGACAACTAAACTGGTCACTACTCCCACTGGTAAGTTATGGCTCTGAGAAGGGAAGGGAGGGTAAACCCAGACATGCAGGTGATCAAATATGGTTTATTAGGGTAAAAAACCCAAAGCACTTCTCTCTTGTCAACAGTAAGCACAAAAGCACATTCATAATCCTGTTGATACTTTTTTTTTTTTTTTTTTTTTTAGATTAGGATTTTTAACACTGAGTGCTCTTTTATTCCTCTTACCATCTTTTTGAATTGGTACACAAAAATATGACCCTTCATTCCCCACTGGGTTTATTTTTGAGGAACTTTTCTTGCAACTTATACTTTGCACTTCTGTAGCACCTTATGTTAGACAATTTACATTAATTTAACTTTCTAGGTACCTCAAACAGATAAGTCCGCATCATTCCTGTTTTGCATGTATGGACTTTAAAAGACAGGTGACTTGCTCATAGTCCTGCAATGAATTTATAAAAAGGCCAGTAAATTGAATTTTAAACTTCCATTGCTTTTCCTGGGGATCTAATTGTGTTTGTATTTTCTTATTGGTTAAAGATCAAAAATAATGCAGACAGTTCAGATTGTAAACTTGTACAAGGAAAGCTTGAAAGGCAGCTTTATCCTAGTTTTCTGAAAACTGTAACTTACTTCCTGAATTATTAGCACAGGTTGGGAATATTAGCATTAACTAGTGGTTTATAGTATTTTTTTTTAACTTTTGAAGTACTTTACAAAAACATTCTTAAGTAAATAAAAAAAATGTGGCAGTTTTACAGTTCACTAAGTTGGTAAAACCTGTATTGTGCTCTCTTGGTGGATTGGAAGACATGGCTGTATTCTGATTATAACAAACTGTTTTGCTCTTTAGCAGTTAAGGTCTGTAGTGCCCTACCTGCAAGCAGAATGGAATTACAGTGTCCGTGTAGCTGTTGACTTGTATTATTCTGAGCAAGTTTCTTTTGTGGACTCAGTTCTGTTTCCATTCTGAGAAGGAGGAGGTCTGAAAAAAACCCAGCATTTATACCATGTCAGGAGGTTTCTTTTGTACTGCTGAAAGCTATATCCGTAAAATTGCATTATCATTGTAAATTACATTTTTCTTTTAGAGTGATATTTAGCCCAGTCGTTGGTGGTGTTCTTTATAAACAATCTGTCAGAGAGGAGGAGTGAGAGTAGGGGTGTCTTTCAAGAGAGGAAGGGATCAGTTCTGGTAGTGTCATTGGATGTCAACTCTTGGGCATCTGAGAGAGCAAGTGGCAAACATGCAGGCAGAATCTAAACACCTATTGAAAATTAAAATCTTAGGCACAAGGATGTGAATTAAAACATGGCAGTCATGGAACATTTGGTAAAATACTTCAGAAGACTCAGACATTAATTTTAAGTTGGTGTTAAGTTTAAGTTGAATATTGCTCTGCGGATTTAAAAAGTACTAGGAGAATTGTAAAGGGTGGTAATAAATTGTAGTGTGGGGTCTCTTTGAATAAAATCTACTGCATTTTTTTCTAAATAAAATTCTTTTTCCACAAATACTAGTACAGGATCATGTTCTAACAGTGATTTTTTTCTTATTTCTTCCAAACAGGAACTCAAGCAACGTATACACGGCCAACAGTTAGTCCCTCTATAGGGGCTCGGATGGCTGGAACCCCAGGGGCTGCTACTTATGTGAAAACTACGAGTGGCAGCATCATTACTGTGGTACCAAAATCGCTGGCTACGCTGGGAGGGAAGATTATCAGCAGTAATATTGTTTCTGGTAGGCCTACGAGCATTAATACTTTGATATTAAGTCTTATTTCAAAAGTGACTTCAGACTTGCTCTAGTGGTTCAAGGCTTTTCTGTGGGTGACGTGCTCATATAATTATTGGGACCTTTATTGGAGACTAAATTAATTCAGAAGAAAAATAGCTGGGGATGAAGAAGAAAACAATGAGTAGAAGTTATGGAGTTAAAGTGTTCTTAAGGATTGCGGTAGTTCTTGTATTTTAGAAGGAAACATGTAATGTGAGGGAAGCCTGGGAGGAAAAGAGAAATGTGGCAGAGGAGAATTACTATGTTGTCTTCTGTTAGAGGGCAGAAAGATCAGAAAACTGCGTTAGCCCTAATTTAAAGCATTTTATAATCTGGATGCTGCCCTTTTCTATTCCACTGCACATCCAAAGAACCAGAATACATACAGAACTGTGTCTGTTAAATTCAGCTGTGCAGTCCCTGCCTTATCTTCTTGTCCTTTTATCAGTGACAGCCTGCCTTTCCCTTACCCCTTGTTCTAAATTAAGTTTTTTTCTTCCCAGCCTCGTGCAGGCCAGCCTTGATGCTCTCTGCCAGTACAGCCTCTAAACACAGGGGTTTTTTTTAGGACCAGAACCAAGTACACTCACACCAGTCACAATCTCCTAGTATGTTTTGGACTTTCAGCAGTGCTAAAGCAGAGAATGCTGCTGCATGTGTACAGCAAGATCTGCTGGGTCTGTTCATCCTGGCCAGTAATATCTTTAAATTCCTTGGTGGTCCCACTGTTGGTGTTTAAAACAAACCTCACGTGGCACCTGAGGCTCCTGTCACTGGATGGTGCAGCACAAGCTACCCAGTAAACCCACTCTGAGGGGTAGTTTGGTCGAGGTACCTCAGTTTTTCACATCCTGATTTCTACAAAATTATACTTAGGGCTGATATAGTAGCATCTTTGGGAAAAAAAGTAGATATTTTAGCCTGTAGTGGGTACAATGAGTTGTTAAGAAGGTTTCTAGATCTACTGGTGAGTTGATACAGAAATGCAAGTATTACTCTGCTGAGCACCAGCTCAGCATCAGGGTGGGGAAACCTTTGTCTTGATAAAGATAATAGCAATTGTCCTGAAAAAAACACAAGTTTGGAAAGGATGCCTGCTGCTTTTTCTTGTTGTTTTGTTGTGGGGATTATTTGGGGGTTGGGATTTTAGGGGGTTTGGTTTTTTGGGGTTTTAGCTGGGATGGGGTTTTTTGATGTTTTTGCTTTGGTTTGTTTTTTTGGGTTTTTTTTTTTTTTTTTCCACAAGTTTGGAAAGGATGCCTGCTTTTTGTTGTTGTTGTTTTGTGGTGGGGATTATTTGGGGGTTGGGCTTTTAGGGGGTTTCGTTTTTTTGGGTTTTTTGGTGTTTTTGTTTCGGTTCGGGGGTTTTTTTTGGTAAGGGTGTGGTCTTTAAATGCTTCTGAAGTCACTAGAATTAAGTAAATCATAGAATCACAGAATGATATGGGGTTGGAAGGGACCTCTAGTCCAACCCCCCCTGCCAAAGCAGGGTCACCCAGAGCAGGTTGCACAGGAACGTGTCCAGGCAGGGTTTGAATGTCTCCAGAGAAGAAGACTCCCCCACGTCTCCAGGCAGCCTGTTCCAGGGCTCTGCCATCCTCACAGTGAAGAAGTTCCTCCTCATGGAGGAAGTTTAGATGGAACTTGCTATGTTCAAGTTTGCAGTTTGTGCCCATTTCATTGGCCTGTCCCTGGGCACCACTGAAAAAAGACTGGCCCCACCCTCCTGACACCTATCTTTTAAATATTTATAGGTGTTCATCTGATGCCCCCCTCAGCCTTCTCTTCTCCAGACTACACCTATCCTTTAAATATTTATAGGTGTTCATCTGATGCCCCCTCAGCCTTCTCTTTTCTAGACTAAAAAGACCCAAGTCCCTCAGCTTCTCTTCATAAGAGAGATGCTCCAGGCCCCTCATCATCTTTGTGGTCTGTCCCCTCTCCAGCAGTTCCCTGTCCTTCTGGAACTGGGGAGCCCAGAACTGGTCCCAGTGCTCCAGCTGGGGCCTCCCCAGGGCAGAGCAGAGGGGCAGGATGACCTCCCTCCACCTGCTGCTCACACTCTTCCTGATGCCCCCCAGGATGCCCTTGGCCTTCTTGGCCACCAGGGCCCATTGCTGGCTCATGGGCATCCTGTTGTCCATCAGGACTCCCAGGTCTTTTTCCTCAGAGCTGCTCTCCAGCAGGCCACCCCTAACCTGTACTGGTGCAGGGGACTATTTCTTCCCTTTCCCAGAGTTAGTAGAATTATTAATCTGAAATACATAGTGAAGTATCTACAGACACAACTAATGGGTACAAAGTTGCGAGGGGAATCCTTGGGTTTGCAGCTCCGCTGTGACTGACTTCAAGCTCCAACAGGGTAGGTTTAGATTGAACATTAGGAAAGAATTTTTCACCGAAAGAGTGATAGGGCATTGGAACAGGCTGCCCAGGGAGGGGGGGGAGCCACCATCCCTGGCTGTTGTCAAGGGCCGTTTAGGTGCAGTGCTGAGGGACATGGTGTAGGGGAGGACTTTGTAGAGTAGGATAGATGGTTGGACTCGATGATCCCAAGGGTCTCTTCCAACCTAGACAATTCTATGAGATAGACTTCCTTCAAGGAGAAAGTGGAACGTGTTGATAAAAAGCTCTCTAAATAGATACTGAAATAGCAGTCTGATAACACTGGATAGACTTTCTTCAAGAAGAAAGTGGAAGGTGTTGATAAAAAGCTCTCTAAATATTAGATACTGAAATAGCAGTCTGATAACACTGGTGACATGTATTGGTGTATTTACTCTTGGAGACCATGGAGGGGCTGACCAGAATTACCTGTCGCTGCAGGTAAGTAAAAAGATGATTCAGGGAATGGAACTCATTAAATACTTGAAGAGGAACAGAAATAGCCAACACAGCTCTTCAAAAACAAAACCAAAAAAACAAAAGAAAGGTGAAAAAAAAAAAAAAGGAAGACACCCCCGTCGCCTCCCCCTATAATTCTAAACTCAACTTTTAAGAACCGATTGTGAAACAATAGCATGTTTTTCTTTTTTCCTTCTTTTAATCCACTGCTCCTCACTGGTATTAAAACAGTTCAATGCCAGACAGAGATGGTATTTCTCTTGACCAGAGAGACATTCTTGGTGTGTGGATTCTTCTACAGTGGTCGTCTAGAACAGTATTTGTGCAAATAGGACCTTGAGTTGAGTAGTAGTGGCGTCCTTACCCCTCCCTAATCCTAGCCTTTAAAAAGTTAGACATTTTAGCCTGAGAAAGCTGTTATTAGCCTGCTCTGTAATTTATGAGAAGGGGCTGACTCTCCTAATATAGAATAAATTGCTCTGTCCTGGGCATGCCTGCTTTTATTGTAGGCGAAAGATTTGTAGAGTGGGTATCTTATGTTTAAATGTTGAGTTGGGTGACATAAATTCATAAATTCCCATGCCAGATACTGCCCTCTTTTTTTTTTTTTTTTTTTTTTTTTTTTTCTATAAAAAAAAAAAAAAAAAAAAAAAAAAAAAAAAAAAAAAAAAAGTTCTAGGAAAAATATTAAACCC